ACATGCTTATTCTACTGAGCCATCTCCCCAGCCCTTGCTTAGGATTATAAATTACAAATAATATAACTGATATTGTATATTAATATAGGTCTCATTTTTTAACTTTTTATTTTTAGAGAATACAGAATAGTATTAAAACAGAAAAAATTACAAATGATACAGAATTTCACTAAACAAAATATGAATGTGACAGTTTTTTTGTATTCCATAGTTTTGTCTTCAAATTATTTTTTCACATTACCAGATATATGCATGTAAAATAAAAAAAAGAAAGAAAAAAAGTTATAAGACATTGAGAAGAGAGAAGACTGGGTGTGGTGGCACATGCCTATAATCCCAGCACTGGGGAGGCTGAAAGCAGGAGGATCACTATGAGTCCAAGCTGTATAGTGAGACCCTGTACCAATACAGAAAGAAGGAAGGAAGGAAGGAAGGAAGGAAGGAAGGAAGGAAGGAAGGAAAAGAAAGACAGACAGACATTAAGAAGAGAGGAAAAAAAATTAAAGACCAAAAAAAAATAAATAAATAAAACATTAACTGCTCCTTTCCACAGACCACCAGAAATCCACAGTACAATTATACAAACTGTCCTGCTTACATCTTTCTCCCACTCCCTCTCCTGTCTTTCTCCTCAGCTCAGTAATTCTTTCCTTTTGATAGGATCATTCCCTTTTCACAGTATCTATTATACTCTTCAGATTTTATTTACTCTTTCAAGGAGACAATATGATGGTTGCACATGCAGGTCTGATTTATTTCACTTAAGAGTATGGTCCCTAGTTGCATCCATTTACCAATAAAAGTCTCAAATGTATCCTTTTTATAGCTGAATAATATTCCCATTTTGTAAAAATAACTCTTCTTTATCCATTCCTTTGTTGGTGAGCATTCGGGTTGCTTCCCAGATTTAGCTATGACAAATTCCACTGCTGTAAACATGAGTACACATAAGTCACTGTGGTATGATGCTTTCAGTTTTTCTGGAAAAATACCCAGGAGGGGAGCAGCTGGGCTGAATGGCACCTCCAATCCTAGCTTTTTGAGAAATCTTCACACTGATTTCCATAACAGTTGTACCAGGCTGCACTCCCACCAACAGTGGAGAAGGGTTCTTTTTTACTCACATCACTTCCAGCATGTTATTGGTTGACTTCTTGATGATAGCTGTTCTTTCTGGAGTGAGGTGGAATCTCAGTGTTTTAGTTTGCATTTTTCAAATGACCAATGATGTTGAACATTTTTTGTATATTTTCCATTTTTTATATCTTCATCTGAAAAGTGTGTATTCATCTCAGATGCCCATTTTTGGATTGGGTCTTTGAATTTGGGGGCTTGACTTTTTTAAATTTTTATTTATTTGGTTCAGGGTCTTGCTACAGATCTTAGATTCATAGTGATCCTCCTGTCTCAGCATCCCAAGCACTGGGATTACAGGAGTTTGCCACCATACCTGGCTTCAGGGCCGGCACAGTGCACCTGGGATTCTAGGGCCAGCAGAGCATGCAGTACCCATGTTCATACCCAGGTCCTTGTGCTTGTGTGGTAGGCATTTAGACTGCCAAGCTATCTCCCCAGCCCAGGAGATTTTTTAAAATTCCTTATACTTTCTAGATGAGACCTTTGTCAGTGGGGCAGTTGGCTATAATTTTTTTTCCCAGTTTGTGGGGTTTCTTTTTACTCTGTTGGTGATTTCTTTTGAAGTGCAGAAACTTTTTAAAGAGTTGAGATCCCAATTGTTGATTCTCTGAAGTATTTCCCATGCAGATGGTTTTTGTTCATGAACTCTACCTACCCCTATGTCTTTTAAGATCTAAACATTTTTGTGTGTGTGTGTTTGTTTGTTTGTTTTTTGTAATAGAAATCAAACTCAGAACCTTGTGCTTGCCAGGCAGGCATTTAAGCCACTGAGCTATCTCTCCAGCCCTTCATTTTTCAAAATAACTTTTCTTTCAGTCCTTGTGTTATGAACATATTTTAGTACCAGCTTTTCCACATATCCTTTGCTCACACTGTGATTTTCATTTGGGTCTCATTTTTTAAAACATAAAATTGGAAGTCAGAAGTATCTCAGCATTAACCAATATGTTCAACTCCAGCATGACACAGTGATTGTGTTAGTCTTTGTTATTTTTAGTGGTTGTGTAGGACCAATATGAAGCATAGTCTCATGAGAAATTTCTGTTGGTCTGTTATAATAATAAAAATACTAAGTGGTCAGCACAGCATACAGGCATGGCATCAAATACCGCAATTTACACACATAATCTCTTAAGAACAATGTGAGGTTGGTGTCATTATCTACCTTTATCTGTGATAATTGGCTCAGATTCATATAACCGTATTACATGATCGAGGTCAGATGTTAAATTCAAGAATTTTCGTCTGATTCCTAATCTGTCAGTTAATTATCTTCAATTTAAAAAATAATGATGTTTCCATTACATGTTATAAACTGCTTTAATACTTTCCCACTTTATCTTGAAAATGACCCTTGACATGAATAGGGCTGGTATTGAATGTATAAGGAAAGTGAAGATTAGAAATGTTGTTGTTGCTTTTTTTTTCTTTTTCACATGGTGGCACACATCTGTAATCCCAGAACTTGGGAGGTGGAAGCAGGAAGATCACTATCACTGCAAGTTTGAGGCCAGCCTGGGCTACAAAATGAGTTCAAACCCTGCCTAAACTGCAGAGTGAGATCCTGTCTCAAAAAAAAAGATTATTTTTCCTTGAAAAGTAGGAATAAGTTATTGAAGGATTTCCAGAAAGAACAAAATCTTAAATGGGAATTAGTTAATCATATCTATTAAATGTACTTATTCCTCTATTCCTCTATTCTTAGTTCATTATAAAATTATTCCAGAACTTCAAAATGTAATAAGTTGCTGGAGTCGGTTTTCCAGCGTAGGATTGTCTCTATTACATGAGTGCCCAGTGTATGCAATGCCACTTTAAAGATTGTATAGCTTATACTAAGCCAATACTAAACTAAAAATTACAATAAAATGAATATCTAGTAATTATGCATTCTAAAAGGTAAATGTGAAACTCAAAATGTCATTCACAAATGAGATTTTTAAAGCAACTATAATGAGGTTTTGTATTGCTGTATAAAAGTCTATTACATAAGACCCTTTCAATAGGTTTTACAGTTCGTAAGCCCTTGTTGTATGTCTTTTACAATCTAGTTTCATTCTATTTAGTATAATTAATTCATTCATTTAGTATGTACTTTCCAAGGACCTGTGACAGTAGTGCAAGGCATTTTCTAGGTGTATGATTCTCCTAATATCTTTCAGAAGAGGATATAGATAGATACATGATGAGTGAGAAGCTGAGACTGTCTCAGTGGATTCTTACTAGTCTTTCTCAGATTTCCTCCAGTGAATTCTGAAGTTCATGATGGTCCCAACATTCATGAAAATGTGACTACTTTTCAGAGTTAAAAACCAGAACATGGTACTGCGGCTAGTACTTTTCTTCCATTCTTACAAATGCCTGACATCAGAAATTTCTAGAAGAGATTGATATGATTTGGATTATAATTTCAGAGTGTTCAGTCCCTGCTCTCTTGGCCCTGTTGTTTGAATGGCAGCTTATTACATCATAAATGATTGCAAGAGATGCCTGTTCACTTTATGGTGACTGGGAAGCAGAGAAAAAAGAAGAGCCAGGATCCGAATATCCTCTTCAATATCCTCTTCCCACAACAATCTCACTCTCACCCAATAGATCCCACCTTCAAAAGGTTCCGGCACCTATTCCCTGTGATGCAGACTGGTGAGCAAGCCTTTTATGGGACATTTGAGATCCAAATTAGATCAGTGGAGAAGTTACTTTCTTGGATCATGCAGTTAAGGACACATGAAGGGCTATTGTGTATGCAAGAAAATAATCAGTATGGTTTTAAACTAGTCATGTTTTTGTTTAAATCACATATCTGAAATTCCCTTTTGTTAAGCAAAGGAACCAACCATGTCATTTTGACTGTTTCCTTTGTACTGGATTAGAGTAGAGACCTGCTGATTCCATTCAAATCATTTGTGAATATTGTATTGCTCTCAAGTTTGGTATGTATAGCTAGCTTCTCTCTTTCACTTCCCTTTAAATAAAAAACACCTTAATGTCCCAATTTCTTCTCACCATTCCTTTATGTTCCTTTTTGGTGAAGTTTCAAGAATTTGAGCAAGAGAAAATAGACCTGACTTAAGCTTTTTTTTAACTCAGAGTTTCATTTTGATTTTCCAGGCATTTCACATATTCTTCTTTCTAGAACATTCTTGATCAGTTTCTCTATTTTTCATCAACCTTATTTCTCTCTTCAGTTGGGAGTCATCTGTCTTAGTTGTCTGAGATGTAAGAGCCACCAGAGACACTATCACGTCTGGTAGTGAAGTAGCTGTAGCAGTGGTATGGATCTGGTATGTTTGCATATCTACTGGTGCAGTTTATACAACAGCCTGGTTCCTGGGCACAAATATTTGCTGTCCCTCAGAGGTCTGTATATACTGGAGAATTGTAACTCACAGAGTACTGCCAGAACTGGTCTTGGTTAATATCTGGAGTCCCTGTATTCCATCTGTTCCTGGACTGGCCAACTGTAAAGCTCTATTTGGGGCAATGGCAATATACCATCCACCGCTAGGCTGGTAGATGGGCATTGGGACAGACTTAGAAGTGACAGCAGGTACTACAAGGTTTTCTGTCTCCTTTTCTGCCCTGTGTATCTTCAGAAGATAAGTCTTTCAAAATTTTTCTTTAAGATGGGCACCATGCTAGGATTCCATGA